AGTAGTAGGCAGTAGGTAGTAGTAAGCAGTAGGTAGTAGTAGTCACAACAAGTTTAAACAAGCACAAAGAAAGGCCACGGACACAGGATCAAATTAATCAGATTATTGATGGGGGACCGGCCCTTGTGAGGGGTACCCTTTGCGAGCTTGTCAAATGATTGTTTTAAAGTGTCTTTTTAATAAGGCAATTTATAGGCCCTGAGCCCTAGATATTTTTAAGGATTTCATCAAACATGTAGTAGGTAGTAGGTGGTGATGGTGGTGGTGGTGGTCGTGGTAGTAGCACGTAGCAGTAGCAGTAGCAGTAGCAGTAGCAGAGCAGGAGCAGGAGCAGCAGCAGCAGCAGCAGCAGCAATAGTAGTAAGTATAAGTAGTAGTAGTACTAGTAGTAGTAGTAGTAGTACTAGTAGTAGTAGTAGTAGTAATACGAAAAATTGACCTGGTTGTGGGCTCGGATTAACTGGGGGGGATTGTTTGTAGAAAACTAGACCATAGGGGGGAAATCAACAGCCAATCATACTTTTAATTTGGGCAATTTCTGGCGGCTTTGTGGGCTCGGGTTAACTAGGGGGGATTTATTAATACTGACTTTACATTAGTGCGCCACCCACCAGAAAATAACACTTGCCAACTTTCGAAGCCCTTCTGAGCTGTCCTTGCCCTCGTTCATGGTGCTCAGCGCCCACTGCTTGAGCAGAGTGACTTCAAAAAATGTAGGGTATCCAAGCTCTGAACTCTCTGGACGTTTCTTTAAACTTTGAGGCCTGCCAGTCTGAGCAAACCAAGCAAGCAAGCCAAGCAAAGTCTGGTTGAACACGGTATAAGAATTTTTACATAAAATATCATAAAACAGCCTGCAGCCTACCTTCACACAGCTCCTCTCGTCTTTATCATCCTTAGTCGAACTGCCCTCCAACCTACGTATGCCCTCGCAGGAATTTACAAAAAGGATCAAAAAAAGGGAAACATGGTCATGGTCCAGAAAAGAAACACATACCAATCATACCGACTGGCAACCACTGGCCCCCCAACCACTTGCAGCATCAAACCTGGACCTTGATCCACCATGACGAAGCCATGGCTGCTCCGAGCACGGCACTCGAGGACATCCTCTCCCACGTTGCGGACCTCACTCGACCGGGTCGTTTTCTTCTTCTCAGCTTGTGTAGGCTGCCGGCACCTCTGTGCCTGACACCTCCTGCCAAGAATCCAGGGCCAAAGTAGGTATATATCTGAATGTATCCGGCTGCTTCTTGAACCCCGAGCGGTCACCAGGCCCCCGACATTGGCCACATAGCCCGACTTCTGCTGCTCGATCAGGGCGCCCACCTTGGTCTTGGCAATCATCGGCATCAGCCTGTCCCAAGGGTTGCTGATGGACACACCCAAGCAGCCTATGCATACAGCCCAATCAAACAAGAACACCACTGCAAGAGGTGCTGCTGCAACATCTAGTGGCCACCAACCAAATAGACAAATAGACATGTAATCCTTGGTCCTTGATGGAAAATATATCATGGACGCATTACGCATTACTCATTATCTTTCACCTAAGGTTCTAGGCCTAATCTTACAAGGTTCAACAAACACACTCCAGCAGCTTGATTTTGCAGCAACCCAGCGCTGGCTGAGGGCCCGGCGACATGGCCCAGGACATAACCCAAGTAGCAGTCCAGGATGCTTGGCATGGGACTCAGTGCAATGTGCCTGCCAGGTGTTTTTTGGTGGCAATGTGCCTGCCAGGTGTTTTTGGTGGCTGCCTGCCATATCTCAAAAAACATGCCACTCCATTAGAATGCGTTTCAACCCACCTGTTCGGTAAAAGTTGGAATGTTGACCATCTGGTGACATGCACTTCGCCAATCACGCATGCGTTCCTTTAGCCACACCTTGGGGCTGCCCCTTGCCATTCACACCATGAGATTTGCATGAGTCAGCAAGCCACATCTTTTGTTGTAACAGTTTGCAAGTTTGCATGCACTGGCTGTTTTGTCGAACCCACGAATTGGAAAAACACATCAAGGCCCATACGGACTTCAAATCAAACACAAAAAACTCTGCAGCTGCACATGCAATGCCCGAGTTAAGCTTTGTTGTTTGTGTTCTTTTCGTGGCAGCTCCTTCACCTACCCGGTCCAACCCCTGCGCCCACCTTAAGCTGTGTGGGTGTTGTTCGAAGTGATGTACCGACCGAAGCCCTCGTTGCTTTCGCCTGGCGGTTTCGTAGGCGAAAGGCAAAGGCTCAGCCAGGAGGGGCAAACATGCCGTGCTGGCAGGATGTTCACCAAACAAAATGTCCCACAATGAGCGGCGGAGTTCTGATTCCGAAAGAACTTGAACTTGGAACCCATGAAACGATGTCTGATAGTATATAATATATATACCTAGAACCTGAGTGACCCCTGTTTTGGAGTCAAAACGTGGTCTTTTCCTATCAAAACAGAGGTCAAAGGGGTTCTAGGTATATATATATATAGTAGACCTGGATGGGTTCCGACTCCCTAGACCCTTCCACTCATGCGAACGCATTCGGATTCTGGCGATGCTGGAACATGTCGCACGCACCTGACACGGTGGTCCCATCCAACTCCAATCTTCGTCGTTTTCGCGCAGCTTTTGCTCTCGAAGGTGGTATAAAAATGCAGTCTGACCATTCACCCCCGAAAGACTGACGCGAAAATGGTGCTGGGAACTGCGTGGCGGCTGGGTTTCATTCCCAACCGTGGGTAAAAATGTACACCCTAAAATGACTATAAGTTTGGGTCTATCCTATGACATAGGTCCTATGACCTGTAACAGTGGATGATGATGATGGTTAGGTTGTAGGCCTTGTTCAAAAATAGTAACAATTGTTTAGGACAAACCCAACCTATAAGTCTGATATAGGTTGATTCTCATGGCGAAGGTCTTCCAGTGGCGCCGCACTTACCGTCACGGGGAACAGGAATTCGATCAGGGGCTGGGCATGGGCCCCACGGGCGGCAGGTGCCCTTCTTGCGCTTTGTGGCACAGCTGGTCCCACATTTCTCAATTCTCACCCATCATCAAGCCCAAACAATTGGATCAAAAGAAAAAGGGGCAAGAAGTCGACACCTGATGAAACCTGAAGCTTCACTGCCCCTCGTAGGTCGCCCGTATCATGAACCCGGATGAAGCCGGTGGGATGAGGAAAACGAGTCAACGAGTCAAAACAATGTTCGCTACTAGGAACAAGTGCATCGCTACTAGGAGCAAGGGCCTTACTATATATAGTAGTAACAAGAAGCTATTAGAAACAATAAGCTACTAGTAACAAGTGCATCGCTTCTAATAACAAGTGCCTAACTAGTAGTAACAAGAAGCTATTAGAAACAATATATCATGTCCCTCGTCCCGGCGCCTGGAGAGGCGGCCGGCCACCAAGTTCCCCACGATGCGTTCCACGTCTAAGGGCAGCAGCCTTGGTCTAAGGAACTGATGATGACTGCAGCAGCCTGTTGCGGTGTACCTGACATCCAAGTGCCAACCAGTGGAGTATTTACCGTATCATCTGCCTCTGAAGGTTTAATGTAGCTTGGCATCATGTCCGGATAGATGTTCAGGAAGGTGGGCGAAAACACGAGGGAGATCGGACAAAAACACAAAAATGATCCTTCACACATGATCCTTCACATGGGACCCTTTCGGCATCTTCCATGGCCCTTCTTTCGGATTTGTCTTCCAAAAACCGCACATGGACTTCACCCGTGCCGCACGACATCCGCACTAAGCTTGGAACAAAGGGAGATCATCGAGCCCTGTCCTGCCGAGACTTGGAAGTGCTCGAAAAAGGAGAGCTCCGTGACTTGGAGTCGAATCTATGAATCCGACAGGACTTCTTCTCAGAAGGGTCACTGGAGTTGGACGGAACAAGTTACTTGTTCCACCCTACCTGGCACACCATCGGCGCTGGAAGCGCACTCAGTGGCACTCCTGAAGACCAGAGCGTGTTGATGAGTCTTGGGCAACCTCGCGCGCAGCTCAAGTTGTGTTTCATCCACACACCACACAAACAGCGTTTTGGCAAAACTCTGCAAACTGCCGATCTGCTTTATAGAATCAGGACTATTTGGATGAACAGACTAGTGAAAGCCGTTGATCCTTCCCCCAGGGCCGCCAATGACATCTTGATGTTTCCCATGACCATGTGTGAACATAATTATATAAGTGCATGTGCTGATGCTTGCCGGAAAGGCCCTTCCCGTTCTGCCCAGCTGAACATCAGGACATGCTGAATGGACCCTAGCCACTGCAATGCGTCCCAGCTGAGTGCGAAGCCGTCACAAAGCAACTTGAGTGGGAGGGGGTGGACGAAAGGTATTAGGTCAGCTGAAGCTACCTTTCGTGATATATGGCTTGCTTTCAAAGAACGGGAGCACAGTTTTCTCCAGCCCCTCCATGTACCAACACCCATCCTGTCTGGGTGTCCAAGGGACCGCCAGTCACCACAGTCACCGGGATATAGAGACAGGGCACCCAAACAGGATGGTCCAAGTATATATATATATATTATAGATCCAATCAATAGCTGTAGCAGTAGCAAAACCGACCGAGCTGCTTGAGCTACTTCGGCTCTCACTTCAAACGGCTACCAGTTTGCTTGTCAAACAGCTGAATCTTTGGCCAAGAAGCGAAGAGTAGAAACTCAAAAGGTGCTCTGGCAACAAGGTCAAGGCAGCTTCCTGACACGAGACCCACTTCTTCCCGTGAAAGCTGGGCGCAACTTTGGTTGCAAATGACTAAGCAACCGTCTTCTTTGCAACTGTGTTGAATTGGAGAACTGCGCGCTCCATCTTCCTTTGAAGTAAGCTCCACTTCTTATATATACCTACTCTTCTTTGCTCTTGACACGCGATGGCCGACCAAGAGCACTTCAGGACAAATGTAGTGCAACAAAAGTGCACTAACAATACTGGCCAAAGGTGAACTCCCTTAGCCTTCAAATGTTTTGTAAACCTTCTTCCCCTCTGCATAATATTTAGTACGGACCCACCAACCACTATGTGCGGTCTGCTTCCAAGCCAACCATGTTTTTCCCTGCATGAGAAAACAAACACGTTACATGTAGTAGGAAAATCATGTGAATTAATGCATATTGTATTATCCAATAATAGTTGTATATTCTAGGCTTGTACTATATATATGCCACTTCTTCTTGGGATTCGCTTGAGAAACCGGTAAATACAATGAAACATGTTCCCCATGCCAATGATATATACCGTATACCCATAGCATATCCCATTACAACCATCACTCCACCTCGGACGACAGCTCCATGGTGCGCTCGGAACGTAGCCTGGCCGGGAAGGGAAGGGTGGTGAGGCATGTGGTGTTTCTTCTTCTCCAAGTGGTTCTCCAAATGATCGAGCAAATGTGGGTCAAAAGTCCATAAATGCTACAAAACAGTAGTAATATGTATAGTAGTGTATTTGTGAGGTAGGTCCTAGGGGCCTCCCAAGAAAGGCTGCTTCCGTGTTGACTTATACATCCAATTGGCACACTTGGTGTCTACCTAGTGTTTTAAAGGACACCTTCAAAGTCCTTGGGCTAAAGGGAGCAGTGGTACTTGATGTTACTTGAGTTGCTGTGTTACCTGTGTTGCTTGTGTTCCACTCCTTGGGCTAGCCTTGCCGTCCCCACAACCCCTGGCCCTCTCTGTTTTCCGCTTCAGAGCCCGCAGGCCCGGTCCCGGGCGCCTGTGCATCTCTAGACCTCAGGTACGCGCCCCACAGCAGGCAGCACAGGGTTTAGGGTTTTGTGACCATCCGCAGCAAAGGAGTAGGGCCCAACCGCGTTGGTTATGAAGAAGTCTCTGTACTCCAAACTTGTAACTTCCTCTGAGTCTGTGACTTGGTGCTGGGAAAACCGGCATTGGAGTTGCATGTCTGTCGGAGAAACAAAGCAATTGGTGAAGTGAGGTGAGCTGTTCTTGGCAGGAGGCACCTTATCACAAACGATCTAAGCGCAGGTGCCTTTTGCATAGTGAATAGCCTGTATGCCCAATGCTGGCCAGCACCAGTGGGTCAACAGCACACAGCCCTCCATCAAACACATCAAATTTAGGAGGCCAAAGCTCCATCTGAAGATCCAAGAGGCGTAGCTCCGTCATCTCCACCATCTGCTCGAAAAAGTCATCTGCGATCATGATGACTCCGGCCTCGTGGGGCAGGGCGAACCCGGAACATATGGTGGACCTGCGCGAGCAACTTTGGCAAAAAAAAACATGAAGTGGAACAACAACCAGGAACGTGCAGCAAAACATATTTATCTCATTTTATCTCCATAATGAAATTCAATGTGGTGGAACCACCCCCTCCAACAGCAACCGTTGCCTTGGCCTTGAACATACCTTACAATACGAGTGACTGTTTCACCCGTATACGCAGCTTGCGCATCCTGCGCATCCTTCAAGAACTCCACAGTGCACACCCCAAGAACTCCATAACACAACTGGCCACACCACACAGCTAATGTACTCGATTAATAAACCCCCCATAGGAAGAGGATTTTCAATTCTAGAGTCTACATCAAGAGTCTACATCAAACATTGTGGGGGGGGTTATTAATCAAGTAATCAAGAGTCTACATCAAGTGCTCCAGTCCGACCAACCGACGCACCCGGACCGACGGTCCGGACTACATGGCGATCGGATGGCGCTCGACTCTCGGTCGATGGCGCTCCACACAGACTATGCGTCCACCCTCCACGTCCGTGGTGTCCGGAAGCGACGCGCCACCTCGGAGCGCGGAGAACGCGTGTCCTTCTCGGTGTCCCGAGCATGCAAGTCGTGCTCGCAGTTCCGCACGACGATCGTGTCGCAAATCTCCTCGACGATTTCGTCCAAGGTCCGCCTGGGCAGCAGCGCGTCGTTCGGAGGCCCATCGCGGACACGGACGCGGAAGATGCAAAGCTGGGAGGCGTCAGTCGGACAGGGGACGACAGGGGCCCTCACTGAACCCCTCAGCGTGACCCACACGGACGGACGCTACATGACTTCGCTCCCGCTCTTGCACCAAACTCTCGTAGCGATGTTTCAGGGATCTAGAAGTTACGACGGAACGGCAACCATCGTCGATTGTTGTGAATTCCCCATATAAATCGATGTAATGCATGCACCATCATGTACCTGTATGATCTTTATCTGAAACACAAATGTTCAAGAATCCTCGGGTCTGCCATCCTTCTGTCCTGGCCTCCTCCGTCGGATCTCCTCGCCGATGTAGCACAAGGTGGGTCGAATCTCTAAGGCCACCTGGGCGATGCGTCGCGACCAGCGATGCGTCGCGATGACGCAGTTTGTCGCACTTTCTGAAGGCGGGACCTACATCACAGGGTATTTGCGAGGGTGGCAACAAGTAAAAAGGTATAGCCACATCAAGGTGGGACCATATTTCAATTGCTTAAGATAAGGTGATAAGGCAAGGACTAGATGTTTATAGGGTGAAACACATACCGCCACTAGAGCCCACGAACGACCGCCCCCGCCCTGCTGCCAGTACGACGGCAAAAAGCCTCCGATTGGTCGGATCGAGTCCGATCACGCCTCTAAAGTGAGAGTCTTCGATCCACAAGCCACGAAATGGTAGATGTCCCGGTTCAGCGCTTGCCTGTGTATATAGATGCATGCAGCAGGAGCTTGTGCTTGACTAGTCCATTGCCCAGTCGGTGGCCTAAGGTCTACCATGTGTTTCAGGTGTTTCATGCTCACATCCCTTGCCAGATTTGCCTTGACCAAATCATTTGATTTAGGAGGCCGTGTGGTAAATGGTTTGTAAAAAATAACGGGTCTCCAAGCAAACCAAATCAAGAACGCCTCTTCCTTGTGTCGCAGTGCCTGCTCAAAGCGAGGTTGCCGGACACCTCACAAAGGCACGCACAGGCGCTGTCAAATCCTGCGAGGCACGGCACGCACCCCTCCGCCGGTGTGACGAGCGTGACGAGCGCGGGTCGGGTCGGAGCGACCGGGTCGTTCCAAAAACCCAGGTCTCCGTAAGGGTCTCCGTAAGGGTCAACGGCGAGACATGGAAGAGTCCTTGGGTCAACAAATGAAAAGAACGATAATCATAACAACAAAAATCCATTGCAAATTAGCGTTTTGTGATCGTGTTTATAGCTCAACTTAGTGACCTGATGATTTTGGCCTTCTTTCTTGAACCTGCTCCAACCAGGACACAGTTGGTCTCTAATTGGTGACTGCAGCAAAAACAAGCAAACCCAGAACCAATGTATTATAATGCACCCCTGGATCTTTAAACTTAAAACGGCCTTGTTGTTTGCCGGACTTCTCAGTGACCAAAAGCCCACCACCGGGTGACAGAAAACACTTCTAGACTGATAGTTGTTCGTCCCCCACCGTGCCACCAAAGGACAACACCATGGCACCATGGTGAAAACATGTGAAAACCCAACGCCCCCGGTGTCCAACCGAAGCGACCCGTAGCGTCAACAGCGGCGTCCACACCGACGTGACGGTCTCCGACCAACCGCGCCTAGATTCGTTTCGATCCACCCAGGCATCCGAATCTGCGTCGCGGCGCGGGTTCGCGCCGACGCGGGTTCGCGACGTGCGTCGAGCGGTGAGGACGTGGTGAGGATCAAGATCAACAGAGCTCAGGAAGTGGCCTCGAGAAATGAAGACTATGTGCAATGTATATGCATGTATATGCATTATATTATACAAAGGAAATGATATAGTTATAATATGTTATAATATCAGTCCATCAGAACTTCGGGCTCAAATCCCAGCTCACTTGCTTTTCGTCAACTCCACCATATAATAACCCTCCTCCTACATGGTACTGGCACTGAAACCACTTGGATGCTTCATTTGCGGGGGATTGCTCCGGCACACGTCCAACGCCTCGGGCAGGTAGGGGGCTGAGTTTCCAGACCCAGCCGCTGACGCTATGCAAAACGCAGTTGATCAAGATCTTCGGTTTCTCCTGTGGAAACGTCCGCGGCGGGGCGCTGTCTGTCATTGACGAGCTCTCTTGCTGCTAAATGGGCGTTCTCATGAAATTGCCCACAAGGTCATGATGGCACGCCCCCAAAACTCAAATGCCACCATTTCAGCTTTCTTGCCCTATAGGGCTCCAAGTGCCTCCTTATAGAAGGTATTTGGACCCTCTAAACCCACCCCAAACATAGGAAGGTCCTTGGAGCCCTAGGGTTGTAGTTGTAGTTTGACATTGCACCTTTTCAGTGAACTTTACTCCAAATGGCAGGTGGCGGTTCTTCGGCGGCGCTTCATAGCAGCTACCCGGCACAGCCCCGCTTTCTTAGCCAAAACCATTTGCCGCAAGAGCCGACTTCGTCTTCGATTCCTTTGACGCGCCTTGTGCAGATGTTCCATGATCTTCCCAATATGCGAAAGCTCACTGGGACCACACCTAGGGTGCAGGCCAGGCGTTCAGGACCCCGGGGTGTAGGGCGAAAGGCGTATGTTGATCGGATCGGTTTCAGGTGAAGGGCGACTGAAGAAAGTTATGGCCCGGAAGAAAGTTTCATGAATGAGGAGTTTCAGAAGGCTTTGTTTGTACAAAGCTTTGGTTGATGATGATGCGAAAAAGCAAGGTTGCTGGTTACTGTTGGTCAGTCCACAAAAGCAGTCAGGATCTGTGGTTGCCATTCATGGTTTGGGTGGGGTCTGAAGCCAGTTCTTCTCAGAAGTCTCATCCAAATCCCTTTTCCAAACACAATATGACACTTTTGAGAGAACCATGACCACACACGTGTGCCGACCACCGCGCTGCCGACGTTTGGGCACGTGACAGGAAGACTAAGGCATCTAATCGCAGGTTGTCACAAAGCCGGATCATCTGGCGGGCGCGCAGAAACGCGCGTTTCAACGCGCGCGCAACGTGACCCATGCGTTGACCAATTCAAGAGTTTTTTTGGGGCCACCTCTTCCTGGAAAATCTTCTCAGAGGAAGTAGCTTGATGGAAGGCCTCCTTGTATCTCCAGGGTTAAACTTTCCTATACATTGGATCTATATATATGGGTCTATAATGGTCTATATATCCTGTTACCTGTAAGAGTCTGGATGATGATGGTCAGTAAAGGCCTTGTTGAAAAATTATGATAATTGGTGAATGACTGTCACAGGTAATAGGACAAACCCTACTACCTATACATTACGAGTTGCAGTTCCATGTCGCTTCCATCTTCCGGGCTACCGACTGGCCATCGACCGACACGACGTTTCATCGTCGCGCCAAGGCCACGAAGGACGTCGACCGGCGCCTGGTTGAGCAGGGTCTTATTGACCCGGCCCAGCTGAATGGTCCGCAGCATGTCACTGCCCGCCTGGGGTAGCACCAGTCAACGCACATGAAGATGGCCAAATGCCGCTGTCAAATGAAGGGGGATGCATGATTGCCTGATAATGCCTGATGACCCGTTATTGAATGCCAGGGCCAGGAAGCTTGCATTCGCAGCACGAAGATTCGGTCGCGAAAAGACCTGCCTGGTTGACAAACATGTTGAAGGCCCTTGGCACGTGAGCCATTGAACCAACGTGTCTTCTAGACTGCTCGTTCCACCACCTCACACTCCGTCACTACATTCACCTCACAGCGTGGTCCACCCAGAAAGGACGAAAAACGATGCCGTTCCCCGCTGGCCAAATACAGCCCCATACAAAGCCATACATACAGCCTGCAGCCGTTCTCGGTGAGTAGCCGCCAAGAATCCTTTCAATTTCAAACTCATGGCCCTTCGACAAGTTCCGAATGCCCAAGAGGGTTGACCCAGCCATCTCCTGTGAGCTGCAAAAAAAGGCCCATATGTTCGTATGAAATGGATTGCAGCCTCACGTGTGCCTGTGGATAGCCTCTGGAAGCGTGACTATTGTTGTCAGATCCAGGCACGTCAGTCTTGCTGCGCCAGACTCCAC